CAAGCAACTATAGCACAAAATGGTATAGGTGGTGGAATCTATTCGAGTTCTTCCTCTCAAATAACGCATGCGAAGCCTAACCTCTCTTCCTGTGCAGCGAACGACCCGGTGGGCCGAAAGTAGCCAATGAGACGCCGCGTTGGATCCGAATGTCTACTACTTTTGCGCTCTTATTGGCTGATCTCGGCCCACCGGACTTTGTACTTATACCCAGCTCTGAGCTGTCAGAACGTCTGAATTTACATTGTATTGCTAGATTAGTCGACACTGATTTCGTTTGCCCCTGGAACACTTCCTCTACACTAAATTTCTCTATCCTACTCCACCATGTTGACTCGTCGTGCTCTCGTTGTCCAATCCCAAGGTGAAGTCCAAGTAGAGGAGATCCCGTTGCCAACACTTAGAGATGAATATATCACCGTCAAAGTCAAAGCTGTAGCCCTAAATCCTGGAGACTGGAAGATGCTCTACGGGCCGCACGCCACACCTGGGTCCATCCTGGGCTGCGACTACTCGGGAGTCGTCGAGAAGGTCGGCAGGGCCGTGAATGCGCTCTTGACGCCTGGTGATAGGGTTGCTGGCTTCGCGTTTGGGGGATGCCCGTACAACCACGACGAAGGCGGATTTGCCTCCTATGTTACAGCAAAGGGCGATATCCAAGCGAAGCTCAGCGACAGCATTTCTTTCGAGGACGCCGCCACCCTTGGTGTAGGCATCACCACGGTCGGTCAAGCCATGTACCAAGCCCTCGGCTTACCGCTCCCACCCGCGATCATTCAGGAAGCCGCCTCAATACTTGTATACGGCGCATCAACTGCGACAGGAACTCTAGCTGTACAATATGCTAAACTTACTGGTCTCAAAGTCTTCGCGACAGCATCCCCGCACAACTTCGACCTCCTGAAGAAGCTTGGCGCAGATGAAGTTTTCGACTACAGGGACCCCGAATGCGGAGCTAAGATCCGTACCGTGACTAACGGCTTGCTTTCTCTCGTCTTCGACACTATCTCTGAGGGCAGTTCGCCTGCTATCTGCGCTGCTGCTATGGGGGCGAAGGGAGGGAAATACACTGCGCTGCTACCTATCAAGAACTTCCCTCGAAGCGATGTTAAGGTCACAACAATACTTGGGTACACGGCGCTAGGCGTCAAAGTTAGTGATCACCTCCCTGCCAACCAGAAGGACTTCGAGTTTAGCGCCAAATTCTGGAAACTGAGCCAACATCTTCTGGAGAAGGAGAAGATCAAGACGCATCCTGTAGATGTTAGGCAGGGTGGCATCGACGCTATTCCCCAGGGTCTGCAGGATCTGAAGAATGGAAGAGTTAGTGGCGTCAAGTTGGTGTACAAGATCGATTAAAGAATGCAGTGCTAGGTTGCACGATGCCGTATCGGTGTATTCAACGTCCCCTGCCCGTAAGCGAGAAATGCCCTTCAGCGAGATAAATCCAACTTCAATTCAAACTAATCCTCGACACACTCACTTATGAACTTGCAGCGTATGCGCTCTTATTCTTCGAATCTTTCTCTATCGCCCTGCACCTTGTGATGATCAAATTACGGTGGATGTGGTCACAACGACAATCATGTCGCGCATTGCGCCAAGAATCATTTTAGCTCTCACTCCTACCCATGGGGATGACCTAGCTTGGCTAAAGGATAAGATAACATCGAACGCAGTTCCATGGATGTGGGTGGGAAAGACTGAGTCGTCTGGAGGATTAGTCCATCTCGCTGAGGGGCATTTCTCGCTCACGGGCAGGGGATGTTACCCCAAGTCATGGATGTCTGCCAACCAAGTTGTGCTCATATCGCTTCCAAGCCAAGCAAGCTGCGTTACTAACCTCCCTCCCTGCGCAGCGAACAACCCGGTGGGCCGAACCCAGCCAATGAGATATTGCGTCAGGTCGGGATATCGGTAATTCGTGCACTCTCATTGGCTGGGTTCGGCC